GGCAGGCACATTGAACACTGCATCGGACAGACAAGTTGACCCGACGACCTTTCGTGAAGCGGTGTCTGGATCAAACCAGCTGGAATGGTGGGCCGCCATCCAGAAAGAATATGCGTCACTTCTCGAACACGGAACATGGGAAAAGGTCCCGCGAAAGGACGTTCCCGCCACAGATCATGTAATTGGGTGCAAATGGGTCTTCAAGACCAAAGCCAACGGAACGCGCAAAGCGCGATTGGTCATTAAAGGCTACCGGCAGAAACATGGTATCGACTATCACGAAACATTCGCCGCGGTGTCACGGATGGACTCCGTTCGCTGCATTGTTGCCAGTGCCGTGCTGCGCGGATGGAAACTTCACCAATTCGATGCGATCACCGCATTCCTTCATGGTGATGTCGATTCGTCTATCTATATGGAGCTGCCCGAAGGCTTCGAAGAACCAGGATATGTGTGTCGGCTGCGCCGCTCACTATACGGCCTGAAGCAGGCCCCGCGGATTTGGTACCAATGCGTCCACCGCGTCCTGGCTTCTCACGGCTTCACCATGGCCCAATCGGACAACTGTGTCTTCTACAAACCGGACTGTGTCGTTTGCGTTTATGTCGATGACTTTCTTGTTGCTACGGCAAACACGTACGAAATAGAACAAGTACGGCGGGCCTTGCAAACAGAGTTTCGCCTAAACGACCTGGGCACTCCACAATCGTTCCTCGGGATCCAATTCGACTATCACATCGATGGGTCCGTGTCTATTCACCAACACCAGTACATTCAGAAGATACTCTCCGACTTTGGCATGGAGACTTGCCAGCCGAAGTCTACGCCGATGAATCCCAAGCAAACCCTTAACCATCGTCCAGAGGAACCTCCAGACGAGGAAGGAAAAGCTCGGTATGCGACTGCCATCGGTTCGTTGATGTATCTCATGGTTGGCACGCGACCGGATATTGCATTTGCGCTGGGCGTGTTGAGTCGCTTCACGTCCCAGCCGCAATCGCATCACCAAGTCGCTCTGCAGCGATTGCTTCGCTACGTCAAAGCCACGCAATCTCATCGCATTACCTACCGCAGTGGGCAGTTGATCGGGTACACGGACGCCGACTTTGGGGGCTCCGTCGTCACTGACGGAGCATACTCCACCTCGGGCTATGTGTTCCAGCTTGCAGGGGCGCCAGTTTCCTGGTCGTCCAAGAGACAGGGGAAGTGGCCACGTCTACGACACATGCCGAATACATCGGGCAGTACAACGCTATTCTGCATCTGCAGTGGCTCCGCACTTTTCTAGCCGAAACGCAACTGTATCGGTCGCCGGTTACTAACATCATGGCTGACAACCAGTCCGCCATTGCGCTTTCTCGCAATCCCGAGTTCCACAAACGGACGAAGCATTTCAATGTGAAATTTCACTATCAGCGAGCGGTGCTGGATGCAGGCGAGATTCAGCTTCAATATATTCCAACTGGGGAACAGGCCGCGGACGGTCTCACCAAACCATTGGGACCTATGGCCTTTGCCAAGTTTTGTAGTCTCTTAGGCGTCGATGCTTCAGAGACCTCGAGACACACCGCGTGACAGCGCAGGCGCTCTTTCCACTTTATTTTCCCAACATGGGTTTTGAGTGGTTTTACTGAGGCCTGACTGCTCTGCGCGAGTCCAGTATCGCCCTGCTAGCAAAGCGATTCTGAGGGGGAATGTTGTGATATGAGGCTGGTGCAGATCAGGAATCAAGCCGAACCATCGGAATTAACTCCGTGGTGTCTATACAGAAGACCAAGTTGATTGGAAATCAACTTGGCTACACGTTGTATATATAGCCTCATCTTTCCTCCTAGAGTAAAAACACAATTTAATACCTCTGAACTACATCAGAGTCGACCCTTGTCCCGCGTCCTTCCCCGCCCCCTTGCCGGGGTCCGGCGCTCACTCGCAAGCTTTTGCGTGCACCTGCAAGGCCCATTTCATCTACCCTGCACATCACCGTAGCTTCAAAGTCCGCTTTCTTGCATCATTCGGAGGTTTGAATCCTGGTCCTCGAGTTATGAGATTGAACCAGGGCTTGGTCTAGACCTTGCATAGATCTTGCAAAGCTGTGCCTGGACTGCTCGCCTTTATCTTCTTTCTTACCCCTCTCACCAACATGTGGGGGCCACGTTTCAATCCCTGTCATACGCTGGACTGGGCGCGAGAGATCGTAAGGGTTCGACATTATGGACATCATATATCAAGCCGCTTCTGGGAGCTCTTGCTGACTACTCTCTTGGGAATGCAATTCAGGACGTAAATTGATACGTTTATCCTCTCGTCTGATCCATTACTGACAAGCCTTGTCCTTTGTGGCCTCCGGCGCAATGGTCGAAACGTCCGGCCTGGGTCTTTTTGGCGATTCCGAAACATTGCGGCGTACCCTACCAGCGCGTGAATGTGATCGGCATCTTCGCCACCCAACATTGAAGTCCTTGCTCTCATTCGTGCACCAGACGAACATTCAGTCTATTGCCGTCCGCCTGTGGTATAGTACTAAGAGTCGGAGATGATGATCAACATGTGGCGTTCTCCGTAAAGTGTCGAATACAGACATTTCCCCAAAGTACGAGCATTCGGGGTCAATTGAAATCCCGAAACGAAAGGGGAGGCGAGACATTGGCACTGTCCTGGAGCACTGGAAATAAGTCGTTAATCTATTGTGGGGCTTCATTCAATAATCTGTAAGTGCCAGACTCTATCCGCAGATAATTAGATAGACGATCCGACTTTCTTTTATATACAGACTTTCGCTTGCTAGTACTGTGCTGCACTGAACTAAATTCATAACTACTCAATTCAGATTCCACATTTTCTGTCAAGCACTACGTCACTTTGTCTTAAATTGGGGTAATAAGCACTCTAGTTCTCTGGGCGAACTTTCCTAATAGAAAATATAAGTGAGAGCCTAAAACCTTTTAGGGACTCTGGATTTACCTTCTTTAGTCATGTATAATCTAGATTTCGTATTAGTTATTTTTATTATTGAGTATTAGAATTATAAAAAAGACGTTCTAATTGAGTAAAACCTGAACCTGAACCTTGGCTCGCTCTAGACCTGAAAATGGCGAAACCAACGTTGAACGGCTAATTCACTAAGAGAAAGAATACGCTGATCAGGAATGGAAATCAGTGAGTGCTGAACGGCTGAGTCATTAGGAGAAATAGTACGCCAATCAGGAGTTGAAATTAATGTTGTGATAAACAGTGCAGCTGAAATCTGAAAATGATGAGATTAGCGTTGAACGACTGACTCGCTAGGAGAATTACTGCGCCAGTCAGGAGTGGGAATCAGTGTTGGTGATGAGCAGTGCAGATGTGGGTACCGGGCGACTCAGACAAGAAACATCGCCCAGGCTCGCGCCACTACTTTCCTGATTCGACCTAACCGCAGCATCGGCATGATGGGCCGCGATCGAGCTTCGCAGCTAATTAGCGAGCAGTCTTGTGCTTTTGCGCTGGTTTTGTTTCCAGATGAAAGCACCACGTGTAGCCTCTCGGTCATCGACGGCGAAACCCGACCGTTGAGCCTTACTTCTGTCGTAAGGCCTAGCATGATCTACAACGCCCTATATACTCTGTAATTTTGGATTCAGGGGATACCGGCGGTGAACATCTGGTAAAAAGTAGACAAAATCGTGACTTGATTCTTGCACCTAAGTTGGCTGCACGGGGACGTACTATTCAATCAGTATTTTCATGCTTTCTTATTCGCTAGTTACCAAATTTGTCTCCGCCGACTTCCCGACATTTGCTGCTGGTCGGCTGACCCATAGTGCTTTCTTCCCTAGCCAATGGCTTCCTACTCCCATAACAACTACTCTCTTCTCATCTACGTGCAGCATATACATTACTGTAGTATTCTCGAGCGAATAAAATCTCCATCTTTCTTCAACAGCAGAGTACAGTACGTCTACCACTACTGTACAGTACGTAGCTTGTAATTGACAATAAATCCTGTTCGTACGGAATCGTACCTATAGCTAGCTCGTGTACGCGAGTTTTCAAATGATCACAGTGTATTTCCCTGTACACCTGTACTCAGTGACTACAGTACTGTACTGTACCATAAGTTATTATGTTTCCTTGTTTGGAAGATTCATGGCGGGAGGAGATTGGTACACTGGTGCGACTGGTGCGCTTCTCTCACTTTTACGCAGATCGTTTAACTCTTTCTTGTGCTGGACCAGTACACAACACATGCAACACAAAGATTGTATACCATCTCGACATCCCGATGATTCCTTGAGGTGTAGTCTTTTTCTGATCTGTCTTCTCTGTTGCAAGATTGGTATCCATTGAAGGCCGCAAAGAGTCAGCAAAGAGAAGAGGCAGCACTACAGTAGACACTTGTTAGTATGAGAATAATCAATTGCTATACAGAAGTGGGATATTGACATCACTGTTGCAAGCATTTTCTTGAGTATTCTCACTTAGATAGGAGGATATCTTCCCGAAGAGGCAACAGGGTAGAAATATGGCAGAGCAGCCTGCTATATCATCAGTTCTGTATCAGCTATCATGATCATAATAACGTACCTGTACGCTTGGGATTGCAACAGCTTGTGAGTGGATATGTCCACTTCTCATCCCCGAATTCGTCTCGTTGAGTTATAGTATGTATCGACATGATATGAACAGAGATTTAGTTGTACAACAGTCACGTCCCCAGAACAGCAGCTCGAGATGATAAATAATTCTGTCGTTTCATAACTTGGTAGTAAATAGATGACATATGTTAAACGATATACACTACCAGTACATTCAGACCCCCGGTGGACGCGTCAATGACCAGAAGCAAATAGACTATGTTGTGCACGAGTTTATCCTGACTGGGACTTGCACTTTTCCAGTTGCCTACGTTGAGCAACATGCAGCAGTGTGCCATCGATAACGCGTAAAAATGTTCAACACCAATCCAGCTTTCTCTTGCAGTTCGATGATCAGCTTGCTGAACAATTCCACATAAGGCCTGATTAGTCAATATTCTGTGTTGGCTTTTGTTTTTCTGTCGATCTGGGCATTTTTTTAGAGTGACGTTCCTGTTTGACCTTCTCTGTACTATGTTTTCTTTTCAAGTTACGTGTGGTGGGCCTCAGAATTTCCACATCTGCCAAAGCATCGCAGGGCCCAAAGAAGCACTTCAGCACCCATCTATAGACCTGTTCAGTTCTCAAGGGCTCTTTTGTCATCCTACCTGTAGGGCCAAATATCTTGGTGACATAAAGCATGTTTGTGCTGCCAATATGAGCATCAGTCTGTTGAATCCCACACCGGTGAACAGGTCCAGGAATAGGCGTGGCACATGAGGTTGGACGAATCGCCTTTGCACTATCAAAACATTTGACTATTACGTCAATGAATTTTTCCACTTTTGCAGAGTTGTATCTGAATGCCGAAGGATCTCTTGCCTTGAGAAGCATATTGTAGGCAATCTTTCGATCCGGCGGGTCATTCAAGATGTCTTGAATCTGCTTTGACTGGAAGCCAAGTCTTTCCGCTAGTTTAGCCATATTATACACGGTATGATAGTCCGCCTCCCCTCGATTCGGAGTTGCGAGCAATCTGCTTTTCTTGATTGGCTCCGGCGGCATCCTATGATAGTTTCGAACGCTATAGAGCCACAGTTGGCGATATCCAATGTCAAAAGAGTCACTGATCTTCAAATTCGCGTATGCAATATCATTATGTCCAAGTTCAATTGGGAATGGATTGCGCCCATTCTTCGAATACTGCTCCTGAAGATCGGTAGCATTGAACATATATCTTAGTGTCAATTGGATTGAATCTTGAACAGGAGGGCAAAGTCGCTTTATACAATTTGACCAACATTCAAGCAATTTGAAATCCTCGAAAAAACTGTGCAGTGAAGGAATGAAAACATCCATATTTATGATTCGTTCCACTATAGCCTCTCTCTCACATTCTGTAAAGGAAGAGAATATGCGGCCATCTATTATCATGGTACGGATATTACTGCTCTCCGGGCTATCCAGATGAGGAAGCTTTAGCTGAAGCGCCTCGACATCTTCCGAGCTTACTTTTTCTAGCTCCAGTGGGTCTTGCGATATACACCCGAACCAGAACATTTTTATTGTATGTAGATAATTGGTTAATTCCTGCTTATTGTCAGAAACACAAATGACTGGATTGCCTGTTTCCTTTGTACAATGACCATCTTTACGGCCTAGCGCGAAGAATAGTCAGGGACCTGCAACGCCGTCACACTGAGGAAGTGCTACAGTAAGACCCGCTGAATATGGCTCCGACAGTACGCCCTGGAGTAGACTTTCAAAGGTACGTGTGTTCGCAGCATCGCAAATTCATTTTTAATATAGATAAAACATACCTCTCGGCATTCGGCAGCGACGAGACGGGAAATCAAACTGATTCTCATCCCACTCCTCCACAGCCCCGTGACAGGGAGTAGGTCATCGAAGGCAACTCGAAGGCATCTGTTCTTTCGGCTGTCAAGCTGATCTAATCGGGTTTGGTTTGTTCTTGAGAGTCGCGAAAACCATCGCTGTCTGAATTGGGCATCACCCTCGGTCTCGTACTGCCTAATTTTGCGATAGATCTCCCCATCCGTGGGTGCAGATTCGTAAGAGTATTCGTCTATCAGGGCATTCCGTAGTCTAGGGCCGATCTCTATATATTTTAGCTCACATCTCCATCGTCTTATCAAGGTACATACCGTCAGCGTACAAGTCCACCACCCACCATTTGTCACCTGGAAAGAGGAACTCAGATGCTACCTGGATTCTATGCCGCCCATGGAGTGCTTTCAATTGCTCCGTAGCGAATTGGAGGGTTGGTAGGTTGTCCGACGATGCATGTTTGAGGTCATCGCCCGTTAGCCCATGACTTTGGGTGGCGATACGGAATTCCTCGGAAGATATAACCCCCGGGACTCGATTATGTATATTTAGCCGGTCACAGTCTTTATCATAGAAGATGTTTTTCAAGCGGTCGAGCTTTTTCTGGCTGAGATTTCGAGGTAAAGGTGGGTCAAATTGAATGTCAGAGAGCATCACCTTCGCAGCTCCAAGATAGTTTGCATTACGCTCCCGGGCGAGCGACGTTTCATCTTGCCCTTTTCTAATTGACATTTTCCAAGATCCCACATGGCGTAACGTCTGAATTATATGCTAACTATTTGGGCATGACTCCGCCTGCTTAATAGCCCTTAAACTAGATGCAATGTTTTGCATTAATTATCCCCTCAATTCAAGTCCTGTATAGATATTACACTCCGGCATTTTCTAAAATCAATTGGAAAAGGATTAACTCCAAAGGAAAGGCACTCCACAATATGATCCGCTGCCAAGTGGTAGGGGGGGCATATCATTGAAGGCCACAATGGTGTCTACGATCAGGGGCTCAGGCAACAAAAGGGTTAACTTTTGCTTTCCATATCCGTCATCTATCATTCCTCCTATAAAAGATATAGAAACTTGAAAATCCTTGGCCTGTTCGCAAGGTGACATGCCTTCTTATAAGAGATCTATATCTCGTCCTGCATTTCGCTCTTGGAGATGCTCAATCGCATGTGTTAGTAACCCTGGAATAATAGACGAGAACAGAAAATACATCTCAGGATGGCCAATGATCCACGTGTGAAGGATGACTGTCACGTCTACTACGAGCTCCAAGAAGCCGCGCTCTTGGACACAGACAACGAGGGCGACGTACCCCCAACAATCGACCAGAACAGGAGCGGCGAACTTGATCCTGCAGAATACGCCTTTCTTAAAAGTGCCGTGCAGTCTATAGTAGCCTCATTTCTCGATAATTCCTTTGAACAGCGCGATGACGAAAATGATGGGCACTACGAAGTACTTTTGCAAGCGTATGATCTCGCTATAGCTTGGGCACAGAAGGAGTCGTTACCAAATGCAGATCAGGCCAGAACAAGTAAATTGAACTTGTGTCCCTGCTTTCACTATCTGACGATTTCTAGATTACAACTCTTACGAGAAATCGCTGCAAAGTAACAGCAGTAATACCCCACAACCTGCTAGTAATACGCAGCATTCCGCCAGCAATATCAAGATGTCACGCGGTCCAAAGTCTGTGGATTGTGCCTCCCTGGGAGGCCCATATGCTGAGGCCTTCAGTCGTTTTAATTATACCTGTATACAAATTGAAGGAGACGAGAAAGAGACTATTATTTTACTAGAGCGGATAATTAAAGCAAAGGGCGGCCAAAGGTCTTACTACGTGGTTCAACGCAAGGTAGAAGGGAAGTATCGCTATGAGATCGCCAAGGCCAACGAGGTAAAGGTGGCATTAGAGGACTGGCAAGCTGAGCGAGGCAGATGGATCGTTGATGAAACTAAAAAGGAAGGAAAATTCCAGTCTAAACAAGTGGGAGAATTCAAAGAATATTGGTTTGCTGCCTATATGACCCCACCTGCGCGCATAGTAGGCACGACCCCTCGGTCCCCCACAACACTATCAGTTGCGGTATCCGATAAAGGCCCGCAGGTTTTGATATTCGGTGATTTAGCTTCATGGATTGGACAGGAGAAAGCAGAATCATTAGTGGAGAAATCTTGCCAATCCCAAGGCGTGCCTACCCCATGGGCTGTTAGGTCGCAGACAGTGATTGTGAACGATCCGCGATGCCATAATCCAATACAAACAAGACGACAGAAGAGGGAAGTTACCACACTTCCAGAAGAGGAAATCACAGGTTCGCCTAAATTACAGAGTATCAATCCAAGTTCGCTGGGATCTATTCAGAGAATAATTGATGACGCCATTAAGAGAACGCTTGAACCCGTCATCACTGGGCAGCATGAATTCCAGAAACAGTTGTTGGAGATGATGATCAGGATTGAGAAATTAGAGGACCGTCTACCAGGAGCCCCCACGGTAGACCTGAGCAACCAAACATGATTCTGATTTAAGTATATACAGTTCCGTATCGGACCCGTGCTTAAGTACTGGATATTTTAACTTGCCCCCTCCATCGCTTCTGGGACGGACGGGGAGAGAAGGGAGGGGGAAGGTTGTTGATTACTGTATCCTATACAATAACAGACCAGAACTGTTCTCCCTATCGTAGTACTGGATGCTTATGATGTTTAATCCTGCTTTATGTATTTTTGCTTCTATTGTGATATCTTAGTTCGACGAATATCATATATATACACAATAGGATTCGTGCACTATAGGCCTTAAAATTCAATATAACTATGCAATTATCCTCAATTATACATTTTTTTCTCAGAAAAGACTAACTCAAGATGGACGATAACCTTCGCATCTGGAGAAATTTCAAGCTTGGAAAATTGGTGGACCTGATCATATTGAACACCAGACAATACGACCGCTCCATTACGGATACCTACGCTAAGACTAAATACATCAACAAGATCAAAGATGACGCCAGTCGTACTTTGATGGGAAGCCGTCAGGAGGCCTGGTTGCAGCGTAACCTGATTAAGTCGGCGGTGCTCACTGGTGCATCCTCGGTAGTCAAATCGGTTTGCCTTTCTTTATTCAAAGTTTGGAATGTTATCTTACTCTAGACATTGCAGTATTCTCTCAATTGAACATGACACTCCAGAATGGACCCGAATAACCACTGAACCTGGATGCTTGGGATGGCTATATGGTGCGCAAGAACAGGACCTTACAGACCCTCCACGATAACAACAGTGGCAACAACATCGTCATCGCGGGAGATACCCACGTGGGTCAGCGATCTGGCCTGGCTCGACTACAGCCCATACGACTCCAGCAGGGGGCCGGCGCCATCGGTGTGGAATTCGGCGGAGCAGCCGTCAGCCCTCCCTCCTTATTTGCAGAAGACCACTGTTTCTGTGGCAAACGATACCTCCAAGCTGGTTTTCACTGACAGTGAGTCGTTGCATTGGTCTGAGGGATACTACCGCGCATACTTTGAACTCTATATCACCCCAGAACAAGTTGGAGCTCAATTCTTCGGCATGCCTACCAGCAAGGAGCGTAATGCTGGGGAAATCTCCTGGCTAACTGAACTGTTAAGAGCGGCGACAATCGTTTGGAGCGGAACTCGAATAATGTGGCCGCTGGTAGAGTGGTAGCAAATGAGTTCCTCAAAAATGGGGAGGTTGTGCAGACTGACATGATCCACGACACCAGTACTGATCGTTACTAACCAGCTAGTATGGCAATATTGATTGAATAGCATGATGGAGATACTCAACACAGCTAGGGCATCTCGGACAACTTGTGCGGTGTTTGTAGAAGCGTTGTCATACTGGAATATCCCATTCTCATTCTGCATTAGAATAGGAAGGATTCGGCGACATAACTCCTCAATAATAAAGCGATTCACATTCCGAATTCGAATCCCCAAAAAGTGGGATAAGTCCAGTTCGCCGTTCAGCCCCTGAAAAAGCAGCCCAGAATATCTGTTTAACTTGCTTTCCCTTATGTGGGAGACCCTGGACTTGCCCTCCTTGAGGCTTATTCCTGGGCGGATACTGTAATCTAAGTCAGCTTGCTGTTCTACGTGTGTAGCTTTCTGGGTGAAGAGAAAGTCTTATTCCTCCCTACTAAAAGTTTATTCTTAGCTGTAACACAAGTGTATTTTCAACACATGTGTAATTGTCACATGTGTGAAAGGATCATATGTAGCAAAAACCAGGAGACTGGCTACATCCCGCCAGACTTATTCAGTGATAAAAATCTAGTTCCCAAAATCTGAGTTTCATCTTGTACTACTTTTAACATCAAATTAATAAAGTACTCGAGATTGATTTTCATTTCAGATAACAGTACAGTACGCGTTCATTACTACTATTGCACAGGACAGGTGTTTCTGTCTGAGTGTATTCAAAGCATTCCCCGACAGGATTTCGTAATACTAGAATGTAGAGTGCTGTACAGTATATTACAGGACTATACCGTATCTATTCCTCTGCCTCAACACAGGATCTAACCAATTCAAGTAAAAAGTCCCAGTGATCACTGTCAATCCACAGCTTTACTTCATATTGTTTAACGAGCCCTCTGCGCCGGTACACCTCACGGTGTCCTAGAATCGTTGGATCGGGCGTGTCCTGGTTTCGTACTGTGAGATAACTAGTTCGTACAAGATCTTCGGGTTTGCTTACATCACTCTCGTCGTCAGTAGAGAACTCAACGTCAAGCGGTTCGTATACCCCATCGCCCTTTGCAGAAGCTGTATCATCGTCTGGTACCACAAAGGCTTCATCGGATTCTGTTTGAGAATACTCTGACTCTGTCTCACACTCCGTGTCGACAATGTCAATGCTCTCATCTTCTGGAACTTCTTCAATTCCATCTAGAACGGACGGTGTGATCCACTTCGGGCCAGTCGCCATACTGATCATCTATAGAATTGGGCCTATCTGCCTAGTTCGGTAATCGCTAATTCATATATAGCCTGGCGAGCGGTCCTTTGCCGATACATCACACTTTGAGGGCTTTCAAATCGATAGGCATCATTACCTCAGCGACAAAATGCCCGGCTCTCTTTTGACCATCCCCTTCTCTTTGTTCCTGTTCCATCGGAGGAGTACTAAAGCGCCCTTAACAAGAGTGCGGTGAACGACAGAAACCACTTGAAATCCTGAAATGAAAAAATTCAAAAAGAAATCCATTATTTCGAAAAAAATGCGGTAGATGGCCATATCCGGAGGTCCTGTTGAAATCCGCACCTTTGGCAGACCCTTGGTTGACCACAGGCACAAAGCTGGCTCGGCATGGAGTAAGATGTTGAACAGTGGTAATACATCAAGACCCAAGCTCCGTATCGCGGTTCTTATAATTAGAAGGCCTATGATTCAGTGGAGTCCAACAAGGAACGGGTGACAAAATGCAAAGAAATGAGAGCGCCGTGCCTCTTCACGACAGTGGGAATACCCTGCCGACACACCAGCCAGTGTGCATCACGTCATCATCTGTCCCGACATGGACTGAAAACGACGCCTTCCGGGAGCTCTATCAGAATTGGTATGACTTTCAAACCATACAGTACGGTACGGTAACTGCCCGAAAAATACCAACTCACTCTTATGTAGGAAGGATGCCATCTTGCAGACATACGATGTCTCTCTATCTGAATTTCGGCCATCCAGAACTGAGACAGACAGAGAGATTCGCATTGTGGTACCTGTAATAAACAGTGCGGAAGGATGGCAAACAGCTTATGCTGGGTTCATATCTTTCGGAAAGGCCACGGGCGTGGTCGAGATAACCAATTTTCAAAGCTCCCTTGACATGCGCTGCTTGGACATCGGATACTCGACCACCAAAAATGATGCTTGTCTCGGCGGCTACTACGGAGAGGGCCTCAAATTGGCGGCACTCGTATTTTGCCGGGGTGGATCGCATATTAAGCTCTGCTCCAATAGTTCTCACTGGAACTTTGCCTTGAAAGGACGCGGTAATCGGAACCTCTACTGCAATATTACCCTTGCCAGCAGGGATAAAGTCCAGAGGCTTCGAGACAAGGCGACAAGACGACGCGGTGCGATGTCCCCAAGCGACTTGACCGCCAATATCTGGGAAGATGTTTCGGTCATCATCAAACGAGAGGGCCCTCTAGGAAAGATCACACAGGAAGAGTTTGAGGGATGGTTGAGGACAATAATCGATATTAGTCCCCCATCTGGGCTTATACGAACACTAGCCGGCGACCTGATCCTTGATGGCGCATACTCTGGGTCGCTGTACCTGAAAGGCATCCGCTTACGTAGTACAGATGACTTACGAATGGCTTATAATCTAGCTCATGGCGTGCCGAGTCAAGACCGATCCGAGTTCCTGAACCATCCTCTCCAACTACGTCTTATCACCCAGATATGGGCAGGGGCAATTGCCCAAGGGAACAAGATCGCACTGACTGCTTACTGTACACTGCTCAAGGAGCACTGGGATTGCACTGATGTAAAAGATGCAGAATTCATGATCGACGAGCCCACGGCTAAAGCTGTCTGGCGATGCCTCAAAGATGAAGCAAGCTTACTAGGGAGGTTCTATGTTCCTTCAGATAGTAACGACCTGGTATGATTGATCATGGTATCTGCAAATCAATGGTTACGTACTATACTAATGCTTGCAAAGGAGAAGACTGACGTACGCGAGCGGTTGAGCCGTGAGCCAGAATGCCTACCAGTATCGCTCTGGCGGCTTTTGAAACGATATGATCTGGTTTATACAACCACGGAGGAGCTATCTCTGCAATTAACACATTCCGAGCCAGCCACTCTTCCGAACACGCGCTACGCGCAAGAGTTTGACCATACGATCCGCGCTCTTTTCGCTGCAGAACCACAGACACGCCTCCTTCAAACCAAATATGTGAAGGGCAATGACAAGCAGACTGATTTAGCATTTTCTAGAGATGCCAGAATAATATTCATTCATGAACGATGGCTGAGTTTTGACACTGCTCACGCCCGGAGCTACTGTCCTGCCAAGCATGTGTTGTGGTTGCATGACTCCAGCTTTTGCGAACATATATTGAACTGTGTTTATCTGAAGGCTACCTTCCTTCTCCGGTCACACTTATTAGGAGCTGGCCATGGAGAAGTTACTGTGGAAGAAACCATCCAGTCATTATGTCTTCGAGGCCGGGATCGTCTCCAGGCAATGCCAAGAGCTGTTAGGGCATCAGTGCTTCCTCATGGTCAGACAGTCCGGATCGAGTGGGAAGATGGCTATAGTCGAGCTGGTTCCCGTACAATTGGGAGTCATATAGACTATCATGTTACACTGCATGGGGCATCTTGCGCACAACAAAGGAATGCACTATTTTTCACTGATCCGTGCTCTTGCTCTTGCCCAATGGGCTTGGCTTCTCAGAGAGAGCGATCGATTACCTTCGAGTTGCCGGATAGCGAGATGCGATTTCCAATGGTTGCGAGAAACGAAAGGAACTCGATTTTCGGCTTCATTCCTCCGTCATGCGGGCCAATCCTAGGTATAGATCCTGTTCTTCCATCTCTAATATATAATGGGGATGGTATCAGTCAAGAATCACCTGGAGGCTTTGCTTCTGGTCTGGATGGCGACTTAGATCTATCAGGGGGTATCGATTCTCGAGCCTTGCTCAATCCCGACCAGAAAATTATTTCATTTCCCGATTTATCTCAGGATATATGGACTAGCTCCGACAGGTACGTGTTTCCTAGTATCAGGGTCACAGAAATACTCATTCCCTCATGTAGCGTGATGTCAATGGATACACCGTCCTCTCCGGCGTTTTCGCCCCTTCCTGCATGGCAAGGGCCAAGTCCTATGCAATCAATTTCTGAAAATGAGTCCTTAGACGAGCCCCTTGATTGGAAGGACTGGGAGATTCGCGAGGCATTAGATGGTATATTACTCTTCCAGGCGGCTGAACACATTGACATGGTCAGTACCTCCATTCGACAATCACGCTTGCTCTCACTTTAACAGATGAGCTAGTCGCTTACTCAGGTTCGCGAGATCAAGCAAGGCATACAGCAAGGGAGTTACATCCAAGTCCAGTTCGCTGGGTGGATGAACAGAGAGTTTCTTCTATATGTCCATGAGGTCTTTCCACGTGCAGGAGATCCCGATTCAACAGAGCATATTCTGGCCACAAAATACTCATTCATCACTGATATTCTTCCTTTGGAGCCCCCCTAACTCAGATCACTTGAGTTCTGAGGTCGTGATGCACTTCGCCGACGCAAATCAGGTTGGACAGCCCGGAGACGCGGAGCTAATAAGATTTGATCAAATCATGGCATGGCAACCCGCCTCTAGTATCCAACTACGACCCGAACCCGAGGGTCAGTCAATCCATCCCAATGCATCGTTATGACAGATACTCATGTTCGTAGACTCCCCTCAGGGTTTTCATTGTCGCTTTGCCATTTATAGAGCTTGCGATCCAGGCTCGGCGTGCTGGATCCCTCTCCCTCGGCCGCCTCAACTGCATCGTCCAAGTCCCGTGACTCCTGTTGTTCTCGATCTTTCCCCCTCGGATATTGGCGGTTCTTGCGGGCTTCGACAGGCTGGCTGGAATATCGGAGGGGCTGTAGCCGCTCAGGGGGAAAATCATGAATTGTGGCAGGTGAGTCTGGTTATATCTACCGTGCTGGATGCCGTACTGAAGGCCCTTTCCAGAGGCTGAATCCGAGAGCCGTAATGGGCGACTCGGCACAGGACCTTTTGCTTCAAATTTCATCCGACACCCCGGTTCTAGTGGTCATATCAAACGGAATTGAGCCGCCGCACCTTCCTCCGGGGGAGCTTCTACATACCGAGGCCACAATCCCCGAGATCTTTTTCAAGTCCCTCAAAGAGGCCACGGATCTGATTATCACCAGTCTAGCTCAACCAGAATTTTGCCTCGTTGCTCTACCGATCTCGATGTTACACCCCTCTGCCATTGGCCGGCTTATGCACAGTCTGATTGGCTTCCTGAAACATCGCTACTCTGTGCACTTGAAGGTAATCACCTATACACAACGATCTTCGCTTTGCCGCGTCCTTCTTTTGATCCTTGCACCAACAGCAATCGATCATCGATGGCTTGGGAAAGGTGCTGCTGCTCTTTCAGTTCCGGAACTTCTTCCTGGGTTAGACGATGACGCTGGTCCACCTGTTACCCGGCTGGCGCGTAACAAAGGGTTTGCGTCGCCATCTCTGGAAATTTTCGAGGAGCGTGATCGGCCTCTCGTTGATGCAGCATCACCACCCCTTATCATGCAGATTGCAGGTGAAATGATCCACTGTGCCACACTTCGGAGGTGTTCCTTAAAGAAGCGTCATAGAAGTTCTAGCCCCCCCACAACTCGACTCGAGGTCAAAAAGATCCAAGCGGTCCATTGAGAATGAATAGACAGCCCTCGCCTTTTTTCTTCAGCGGCGTGCTTCTATATCTTCGTTGAATCTAGCCATATTCACAAATTTCAGGATATTATCTTTGGGAAACTTTTGATCTGGTTGAATCCGAGTCTTTTGCACTTAAATACTGCCGTCAGCCCCAGAATACATATTGCAGAGCTAAATTCTCCCTTGTCTATCATGGCTCATGAACTAAGAGTTCCACTAGATTTCTGGTACTCCATCCTATTATTTCGTATGCTGGACCCCTCATTAGCTATACCCGAGGGTGCCAGGAGTTCATGTCTACGGTTACTCGCTGAAAGGATTTCGTATCAATCCCCCAGAGTTATCGGCCGATCTAAGGCACCACTCAGAAGATACTGTACCATCCCTCGAAGAATCAGATGTTCTAGACGGCTCGGGAGACCACACATTGAAAGCTACAAAGCCATACTCTCTCTTGTCAAACCCACTCTTCAACGTTACGCTCAACTATCCCGATCGCAGACCGATTCAACTAAGTCGGACGGCTCACATCTCCTACCTCAGCCAATCATATCGAATCCGCATCCAATTTGCCTTGCATTAGCAAGAATAGCCATGTCTAGAGTAGACAGAAATCAACATCTTGGTCATGTATTTGCAGCTTGCAGATTATTCACTACTATATGTGTCCTCGTGTATCGTAATGAAGAGAAGAAATGATAATTTATTTTTCCCCGGTCATTTTAATATATACTGCACTAGTACTGAAGGGTGCAGAACAGTAATTCAACCTATAGAATAAGTTATGTATTATAAGCAGCGGTCTGCTAAGAGCCGTATAGGGACTGGGTAATAGCCATCCTATTCACGTTAGACACAACAGTATAGTAGAGTTTTGGAATTGCACTAACCAATTCTGTTTTAGATAAAGGCATATTTGAGTCTGGTGAGGTGTCCAAGAGAAACACCTTGCCTGCTGGTTTGGTGCGAACAACTAGGAATACATCGGCGTCAAAGTCTCGATAATATTCAGCTGCCTTTTTAAACAGGCTTTTTCTACGTCGATTCATTTGCTGTCCTCTTGTTCTTTCAGATGCCATCTTCTGGTGCTCTGCAGTAATATTGACTCCCGGGTGGATAATATACTGTATGTCCTCCGTTCAACGACGTCTAACGACTCGGCAGTATACCGTGCCGAATAACGGTTCACCTATTCAACAGTATCTTCTATCTTTCTACAGTATCTAGAATATTCGTGAAATTTGCATTGATTATATTAAAGCGCGCCTTCCAGAGCAAAAATATCAACTTTCCATTTGGAATCCACTTTGATCATGTTTCCCGATGGACGATCCCCGTACCCTCGTCAGGATTCCCAATTTCATATCACCCAAATTCAAACGCGCTTGAATAGCTTGCGCGAGTCCATGGCAGCCTGGAATGCAGTTCATGATAAGCAAATTTCGGTGCGCTATCAGGAAGATGCCCAGTATGAGCACGCTATTGGTTTTATGCGAGCAGAGCAGAAGGTACTGTACCGGACTTCAACCCAATTCAAAGCGAAATCAAGCCTCATCTGGGTTTCGCTGTAGCATTTAGAAAGCTGGCTGCAGTTCCACCTATCTTTTACGACAACAGGTATTCCCCCACCATTTCTTCAACCACCGATAGGAACACACGCACGTCAGTCAGTTGCACAACGATATGATTCGGCCCAACCACCACCCCAATTTTCAGCACCTGCATGGGAAGAAGGGGGAAAAAAGGGAGGAAACCGCCATCATTAGCAGAAGTCGACGTGGGTGCAGCTGTCCAGTCCCTGAATGTGGAAGAACGAATTTTAAAACAACCAATCGTGTCCTCAATCACCTCAAGATCGAGCATCCAGGTTGGCGCCTTTCAGACGTGGAAACTCCAAGAATGAAACACGAAATTGGAAACGGTTCAGGGACTCATATTGCCTGGAGAGATGAACAAGAGGGATCTGGGGCGGGTACAACCATCGCGACAGAGCCATCGAGCCCACTGTCATTAGGCCCTAGGGAGCTGGCCCGTAGAATTGGACCCACCATTTCCTCTATCACAGACTAGTTCCAAGTGAACTATTAGCTAGTTAACACCAGCATGGTCATCTCAGTTTTGTATTCCATACTGTATTGCCTTCTGAATGTCGGGTGTCAGTAGATCTTTGCTTACTTTTGCATTGCAGTACTATGTCTCATAATGTTTCTTTTCTTTTCTTTGTATCTGTGTACAGTCCAGTAGTGCCATCACTTATTCATAGTGGGAGCCCATGTAGTTATGTACTTGCCATGGACAATAATTTTCGACAAGAGATTATATATATACGGTACCGTAAAATAGTGCTGTACTCCTGTAATTGTCATGATTGAAATGACTTCATTATTTCTATCTCCAGTAGTTACTGTAGAGATCCTGTACAGAACTCTTCAATCATGAGGCCTACAGTATCCAGTATCCCTGCCCTCCTTCCCATTTAGCCATTTTAGATTCGGTAACGTAATTCCCGGCCGTCCCGAACACCCCATCCAAAATCGCGTCTTCCTACCTTCGTACCAACTTCAACCACCTACCATGCCACCAATTCGCTCTGAATCTTCGCAGAAATTAGCCAATCAAGAGGGCAAAATCCTATTGGCTCTTTCAGATTTAAATGACGGCCGTGTCAAATCTCTTCGCGCAGCAGCGAAGCTATACGCAATACCGCTTACTACCCTACACGATCGCGTACACGGCCAATCTTCTCGCGTTGATTCTCGCCCATCAGGCCATAAACTGACCCAATTAGAAGAGGATTCGCTTGTTGAATGGATACTCTCTATGGATTCGCGTGGAGCAGCCCCTACGCCAGCTACTGTACGAGATATGGCTAATATCCTCCTGGCTACGCGTGGTAGCCAGCCACCATCTACTGTCGGCAAGAATTGGCCATCAATATTCATTAAACGGCGCGATGAGCTTCGAACACGCTTATCACGCAGATATGATTATCAAAGGGCCCTAAACGAAGATCCTAAATCACTTCAGCAGTGGTTTCTTACTGTACAATCTATAATTGATGAGAAAGGGATTCAACCAGAGGATATCTACAACTTTGATGAGACAGGATTCGCAATGGGTCTTATTGCAAATCAGAAAGTAGTTACACGCGCCGAATACTACGGTCGGAGATCTCTTCTACAGCCAGGAAATCGTGAATGGGTGACTACGATTGAGTCAATCTGTGCAGATGGCTATTCATGACCGCCATGTATGATCTTTAAGGGCAAGGTTGCCCTTGCTGGTTGGTTTGATAACCTACCGAAAGACTGGCGATTTGAGGTCTCGAAGAACGGCTGGACTACTGATGAGATTAGTCTACGTTGGTCACAAAAGCTCTTTATCCCATCAACAAATTCGCGTGTACGCGGCCGATATCGTTTATTGATTCTCGATGGGCATGGTAGCCACCTTACACCCCAATTCGATCAAATCTGTGCAGAAAACGATATTATCCCTCTTTGTATGCCTGCACATTCATCACATCTTTTACAACCACTAGATGTTGGCTGTTTTGCAGTACTTAAACGCGCATATGGTTGCTTTATAAGTGATCTTGCCCGTGTGGGATATAACCATATCGATAAGTTTGATTTTTTGGATAACTACCAACACGCACGGCTAGAAGCCTTTCAACCGAATACCATTCAAAACAGCTTTATGGCTACTGGTATAAATCCAGTAGATGCAGAAAGGGTTCTTTCTAAGCTGAATATCTCTCTACGAGCATCTACACCATCAAACAACCGACCAAGCAGCAGATCTAGCCAATTCACACCAAAAACGCCTAGGACAGTGGCTCAATTGTATAAGCAAGCATCCTCGCTTAAGCAATTACTAAAGCAACAGTCAAACAGCCCTCCAACACCATCAAAGATCTTACTAGATCAGATTATCAAAGGCCATATGATAGCGTTACACCACACTGCATTACTTGCGCAAGACAATGCGAATTTACGTATAGCGAATGAGAAGAAGCGCAAGAAACGCGATCGGTCGAAGAGGCATATACCCTGCGGAGAGGGTTTGACCGTCGAAGAGGGCCTACAGCTAGTTGAACAGCTAAACCAGTCAGTGGAAGGTGATAAGATAGAATCACATGGGCAGGGCGAATTGCCTAGTCAGGTAAATCCACCACGTACTAGGGCCCCGCCTAGGTGCAGTGGGTGTAGGGAGATTGGCCACAAGGTTAATGTATGTAAAAATCGCTTTATCTAGTTAATTTAATTAGTGTTGGTTGAGATAATCGATCTCGAAATCTTTTAATGGGGTTGGGTGTTCGGGACGGCCGGGTGTTCGGGACGGCCGGGAATTACGTTAATCCAGGGCGCGCTTAGTCATTAGAAAACACCGTCACATATGTCGTCATTTTCTGGATTACCGAATCTAAAATGGCTAAATGAGAAGGATGACGGAAAGTCCTACTACGACTCGGAAGTTCCGCTTATGATTGGAGTAAACTATACGGATGATTAGAACTTGAATATATATATACATTGCGAGCTAACGTTGAACGTTTGAAAGTGACAGATGAAGGCACCCTGTTTTTCTGGGATATGTACCATTGTTCACCAGCAGGTTCTTTTTTAACTTCTTTAATCCGTTAGTATTTCTTATTTCTTATTTCTTTTCGTTTCTTGTTCCAAAAAAGGAAACAGTTTGTTGATAACACAGATACTCACCGGGCCAGGGGCATGTGCACTCCCGGAATTGCAACACATTGTCTTGTGTGGTCTTATTCAGGATTAGGGTTTGCTTTTTGTTCTAGTTTCATGTCGCGTTCCAATTTCAGGCCGTGTTCCAATTTTTTTCTATGTTCCTCTTTTGTGTTCTTATTTTTTCTTCTTATCCGTAATCTGACTAGCTAGCCAAATTTTCAACGAGCACCAATATCGGCTGAACCGAAAGGGCAACTATCACTGATCTAAATGTACACGCCTCAGCTAATGCAGTGTCTCCTTGGAGCCCATACAAAATTCCTTCCAGTATATGTCATCTTAGATGTCGATATCTTAGCGGGTCCTTGTGGGTTAGTATTTAGTTAGTAGACTTGCTTGAAGGGGCTTCTCCAAGTGTTCAACATCCTATCCTCGGCAATTGAAGCGTATCTACCGTCTCTGACAGAAGGTAGTTAGTTGGTGGGGGTTAGATTGGGGTTGGACTGGGGTAGGGTTAATTCGTGTTGGTCAACATGGTTATACTCACACACACAATTTATTAACGCCCGGCGGCTAAGCCGAAAGGGCAACTGTCACTAATCTACCAATACATGTCCTAACATATGTAATGTCTCCTTGCAGCCCATACATGGTTACAAGCAGCAGCTTCAGGCCCGATACAAGTCTTTCAACGTTCCTCAACTTCAAACCTTGGCAGCTCAAGCTATTGGTTCTCAGTCCAACGACTCGATCTCCAAGTTAGCAGAAGGGGGCTTCAACAAGGTCTTTCGCCTTGTAATGAATGATGGGCGATCAATTTTAGCTTTAGGAATTCGATACAGTCGATAGCGGAAACGGCTTCTACCCCCGGCCTGCTATTCTTCTCCAAGGCCCCACTGCTAGAAGAGGACAATTTAGACCATTAAGTCTCAGTGCAGATCATCTATTGTCGTTGCCCCAGCCCTCCCCCCCCCCAAACGCCAGCAACCATTCACCTCTAAATCATTTCAAAATGGCACGAAACCTGAACCCTGGGCAGTGTAGGATGATTGTACACATGATAAACAGCAAGAAAATACTGACTACATCTCAAATGGCCAAGCTGGCGAACTGTACTGAGCGTTCTATCACTAACATACGCAAGAAAATGCGATTGTTCGGCAGTCCCAATCCTGCCACAATCCCTCCTGGCCCACCACCAATCGTCACTTCTCTGATGCTGGACTGGATAGTTCCATTTCAAGTAGGAAATACCTCTAGGACTAAAAGTGGCGATGATGTCTCCAGCCCATCAACTTCAAGCGAGCATATCATACGTATTTGGTCAAGATCGACCGGGATCCCCACGTCCACCTTGTGACGGCGGGCCAATAATAAGCCTTCTGTCGCCGATAAAGCCGCCGATGTTCGCTCCCTTTATCCTCTCATATGCATATTTCTGCCACTCGTCAACTAGCGATACCTCAAAATATAGTTACAGTACATCTGCTAATGAGACTTGTTTTCGTAACTCCTGAAGAAAAAGATTGTAATTTTTCACCTGAGAATCTTGTTGGCTAGGCTCTTTGTGAATGTGCCTTATAGGGTCAGGTTAGGCAACGCTGTGTTCCCATGAGGCTGTGCTCTCGCACGTTCTCACAAGCTAAACGTGAATCCCGCTTTTAATGACAATTTCTATTGAAGAAAACAATCTTTCTAATTTATTTCTCAGCATTCAGCAGCAAGTTAGCACTTGCATAGCTTAGTGCCTCACGTGATCTCTATGAAGGAGCCACGTTAGGCATCTATCTGGTCAGCTCTCCCCGCAGCGAGGCTGAATTGGCGCCTCTCAATTAATCTTTCTCCGCCCCTCCCCCCCCCGAGCGGGGCAATTTCTAACTGTATCTTCCACACACACCACTGAATATATCCTCTTTATTAATTAGATATCCTCATCCCAGTGGCCACTTACTATCACCATGAGTGATCCCCTCTCGATCGCAGCTGGGATCGCCGGATTCCTCTCGCTTGGGGTTAAAGTGACGCAAAGCCTGCTGGATTTTTATTCGGCTTACAAAAGCCAAGACGCTGATATCGCAAAAATCACTCAAAACATGGAGATTATTCAAAGCACATTTCGATCCCTGGCAAGTGCAATTCAACAAAGACAATCTCAGCCTAACGCAGAAGAGCTGCTCCAAGAAGTTGAAAAGGCCACGCAGAGATGCCATTTGATAATCGAAGAGCTCCAGGCCGCATGCCAGAAGTTCCATACCGAATCGGTTACCCGCTTGAAATGTCGTCTTCAAGCTGCTGGACACCGCGCAACCTACCCGTTCCGCAAAAGCACAATACTGAAGATTGAAGAAGATGTTGGCGCGATACGTGAAACTCTACTGTTCGCACTCAACGTGCTACAGTTAAAAAGCCACAGCCGGGTTGAAGATGAAGTATCGGCAGTCAGATCGCTTCTCGAGCGGACAAACTCAAGCCAGATTTCATCCACCATTCGTGCTTGGCTTCAAGCACCCGATGCATCTGTTAACCATCACGTCGTCTACGCAAAACACCATCAAGCAACCGGACTGTGGTTTACCAATGGTCATCAATTTACAAAATGGCTAGTAGAAACAGGTTCTTTCCTCTGGCTCAATGGGTTTGCAGGATGTGGTAAGTCAGTCCTCATTCGTGTATGTTACTTGGGCCCACAGCTGCTCCGACAGTTATGAGCCCGGTTCGCCTGGAAGAATTGCCTATTTAATCAATATTGAAGCTATTCCCAGCACTCAATTCAACCGCTGTTGACCTCCGAGTGTCGTTTTACCCCTGAAGCTGTCCGAACCGCTGTGTACCCCTATTCGACCACGATCGTCTGATACGACTTAGTTGAGATGGAAGCAACCATAGTCTCCGCTCCTCAGAGTGTTAAACTGAGATCGGATGCCGATTGGCTCCGCTGGATTCGTTATATCCAAGAACAGGCTGAAACCGATGGTATATGGGACCTCCTTGACCCCGAAGCCGACGATGAAGAACGGCCTGAACCGATTGTACGGCCCGAACGACCAGATTGGGGAAATCTGACGAAGGCGGAACGTACAGAGGCTATTGAAATATATAAGATGGAATTCCCTGAATGGGAACGGCAGAGTAAAGCACTAGCTGCTATCCGACGTGTGATCATGCAGTCAGTCGATGCCACTGTGGCTGAACGACTATATAGTGTTAGCACTCTGTATGAGCGACTGAGGTTTCTCAGAGATCGATTCTCGAATGCAAACACGACAAACGAGACATATCGTGAGCGATGGTCTAGATACTCTCAAGTGCCACCAGCTAAGGGTGAGGATATTCGAGCATGGGCACGCCGATGGGAGCAAATGAGAGATCGCATGCTGGCAGCAGGCCGCAGTCCGGAAGCCAATGAGGACTTCCTAGTGGCAGTAAGGCATCTCGTACCGAATTGGCATACTGGCCAATATCAATTGGTTGTTCATGAGAAGAAGAAGCTGGATAATGGTCAACTGGTGTCTCAATTCCTTGACCACTATCGTATGCACTATGGCAATGCGCCGGCACCATCACCACCGATAGTCCCAGCCACGCTTAGTGCTGCTCTAGGCATTCAGGTCTCAGGAAGCAGAGCGAATAATACCTTCTCCACTCTCCATGACAATGAGGAGGCCACGCCTAGTGCCGCTGCCAGTGCACCGAATCGGAAGAAGCGAACGTTGAAAGATATTCCTCTTGCAGAACGATATTGTATGTGCATGGATCGATCTCATAAACCATGGGAATGTGCCAATGTGAACCCGAAGCTTCGTACTGCGGGCTGGCAACCACCGGATCGGGATAAAATGGCACGTGTGGAACGCCTATTAAAAGAGCACGTCAACTGGAAGAGATTCATTGACAAAGAGATAGCCAAAACGGCTGGAAATGGCAATGGACTAACCGGTTCTGGCAATTATTCTGCCGAAAAATCAGCACCAATTGCTGCATTAACGTTGCCGAATGACGAATATCCCGAGGAGGATAACTTGGCCATGAACACCACAGCCAAAATGAACCTTAGGGATCGATGGATATTGGACACCGGAGCTGGCATTCATGTTTGCAATAATCGCAGCCTATTTGATCAATATACCGTGAAGAAGGCGGCCATGCGAACTGGCGATAGCTTCACGCGAGTTGAAGGTATTGGAACTGTCAGAATGCTCTGTGTTGACCCTATCACTGGTGGACCAAGCGTCGTCCGACTCTATAACGTCAAATATTCCCCTGATTTTCATGTCAACCTGGTTTCATAAAGTCAAGCGAAGACTAAAGGTTGCCGATGGGATGAGAATGGTGGATGCATGCGCAGTGCTAATGGCAGTGCTTTTGCCAAATTAACCCATGATCGTGGAGCTGGTCTATGGCTATTTGACCAACCGGCCGGTGATGCCACAGCCTGACTATCCGTCAGCCCCACCGCTTGGAAAGAAGGATGTGAGACGCAGTACGCGATGGCGGCGCGGAAATCGTCTGCATCAAGAAGCTCGAAAGCATCATTTGATGTGTGGCATCGTAGGCTAGGTCATATTCAGCCAATCACAGTCAAGAAAGCTGCTGAGCTTGTGGATGGAATCGAGATAGATGGTTCCACAACTCCTAACAATGGAGATCAGTCTCATTGCGAGATCTGCCGACTATCTCAGGCACCACGACAAATTTCACGTCGTCCCTGGGGTCGTCAATTCGGCCGATATGGTCAAATTTTCTATGACATTGTGGTCATGCCAATTGCATACAATAAGATGCAATATTTCACACACTTCTATGTGTCCGGAATTCGTTTCCATTGGGTGTATCCCCACCAATTCAAAAATGACGCGGTCGTGGCCATTAGGCATTTCCTTGCATTCGCAACGAAAGTCCTGAAATTGCCTATTATAGCAGTTCATGCGGATAACGAGCAGGCTGTGAGGGAGGATGTGGAGAAAGAGCTAAAACGAGAAGGCTTCATTATCACCCACACCATACCACAACATGCGGAAATGAATGGACCAGGCGAGCGCTCAGGGGGTGTGATCACCATGAAAGCCAGAAAGCTGCGAATTGAAGGCAAATTGCCAGAAGCCCTGTGGCCGGAGATGGTCATGGCAGCTGCATGGATATTGAATCGCACACCGACCTATTTGAAGGATAAATCCCAATGGATTGTGCCTTGGGATGAAGCCCGCGCTTTACTGGATGCTGATGGAGTCAAGAAATCAGATCTCTCTGGTATCAGAATATATGGTAGTCTTACCTACTTTCGTCTGGACAGAATTCCTCAACGAAATAAGCTCCGTCCGCTGAAATCGGCATTCTAGTCGGATATGAAGCATCGAATGTCTGGCGAATATGGAGACCTCGGAAGAACGATATCATTCGTGTGCGAGATGCAGTTTTCGATGAATCGCGACGCTGGCATCCAAATATTGAATATTGGAAGGAGGAGCCATTACCCATTCCTGCCGCAGATGCTATGACGAAGGATGAGGTTGATCGTGTGATATTGAAAGAACGAGGGTTGACAGATAACTGGATGGATTATGTGACTGGCCCTGGAACGGCTAGCACAGTGATGCCACAGCCTGGCCAACCAGCACCGCCTACCCATTCATTCGATTCTTATATAGCCGAGCAACGCCAATTCTATGCGCCAATTCAGACGACATATCGGACGCCTGAGCCTGAGGGTCCGCAGCAACCGGATGATCGTGCAGAACCAATCCAGGAATTGACCCCACCATCTGTGGAATGGAAGCCCCAGCAACTAGATGATCACTCTGAGCATACACTATCAGGAGCATTCCCTGACGATGAATTGCCGCCGTTACCACCTACACCGTCACATGATCGTTTTCCGGCCGGAAACCCTGCTGCAGAGACTGAGGGGGTGGAGAGCTATTGGCTGCATTTGCCACCGGCCTCAATGCCGAACAAGAACACCACCAACATCGTGATGACTTACCACCACTGCCGCAGAATTGGAAGGACATGCTCCGTCATCCTCACTGCGAGGCCTTCCTAGCTGCTGCAGCCCGTGAGACCAATAGCCTGCGTGCTAAGGGAACATTCCAAGAGGTCAAAGAACCAAATGACCGTTCCGTCCAGGTGTTGCCATTGAAATGGGTCTTTGACTATAAGTTTGATCAAGATGGCAATCTCCGGAAGTTCAAAGCTCGTCTATGTGTACGCGGTGATCTTGAAAAAGTAACACCAGACGAAAAGAGAGCCGCTACCCTAGCCGCTCGAACTGCACGCATTATCTTTGGCCTGGTTGCCGCATTCAACTGGGATGTGAGGCAATTGGATGCTGTGAATGCATTCCTCAACAGCACATTGCCAAAACCGGTTTGTACCAAACTTCCAGATGGTTCAACCTCACCACCAGGTCTATGCTGGAAACTCGAAAAGGCGTTATATGGACTTCGGATATCCCCAAAGCTATGACAACAGGAGGCCTCAGGCGTCCTGGGAAAGATAGGACTAACTGCACTGCCTGAGGATCCGTGTGTGTTTGTTGGAAAAGACATCATTGTCTTCTTCTATGTGGATGATATCATTATTGCTAGTGATCCATCCCAACGGCATCAAGCCGAACAGCTGGAGCGCGATCTCCATGCAAACTGGGAGCTCACCGACCATGGTGACGCTCGCTGGTTCCTAGGCATACGCATCATTCGAAACCGAGAGTACAGGAAGCTCTGGTTATGCCAAGATGCCTATATTGATGCCTATATTGAAAAGATGGCTATCCGATACCATCTTAACCATCGTTCAAGGGTGACCACACCACTGGCACCTGGGCAAGAGTTGAAGCTTCATGATGGCCTACCAAATAAGGCCAGGATCGAAGAATTTTCCAGCAAACTAGGCTCAGCTCAATATGCCACCACCATCACCAGGCCTGATGCTGCCAGAGCTACTGCCAAATTGGCCCAGTTTCTCACTAATCCAGGGCCACAGCACATTGATGCTATTGACCGTGTGACAGTCTATCTGTACTGGACCCGTCACCTGGCAATTGAATATGGCCTCTGCAGCGGCCTAAAATCGGTGGAACTTGCCAGCGACACCTCATATGGTGATAACACCGATCGGAAAAGCTCATCTGGTTATATCTGCCAGATATATGGTGGCCCTGTCGACTGGAAAGCTTCCAAGCAGCGCACAGTAACGACGTCTACCACTGAGGCTGAACTTCTGGCCCTTTCTGATGCAGCACGATCTGTTCAATATACTATGCGCTTGCTCACCAACCTAGGTTTCAGACCTAGCCATCACATTATTTTGAAATGCGATAACCAACAAACGGTTAATCTGATCTCCAATGCCAATGTCAAACTGCACACCAAGCTTCGTCATGTTGACATTTATAGCCACTGGCCTAGGCAGGAGGTTTCAGAAGGGCGCATCCACATTGAATGGGTGCCCACTGGTCAGATGGCAGCCGATGGCCTCACGAAGGCGCTGTCATCTCAGAACCATGAGAAATTCGTCGGTATGCTTCGAATGCAGAATATTCGTTCGTACATCGATAACTGAGGCAATTGCTGCCACTTTGGGCTATTTCTGGCTGAGAGCACTTGGCATCCAGACGGACGGCTACTCGGGCCACAGCTTTCGGAAGGGCGCGGCTCAACATGCGCACGATAGTGGGATCCTCGACGACCAGATCCAGGTGCTCGGGAGATGGACCTCGGAGGCATTCAGGGTGTATTTCACCACAAACGCGTCAGTTTTGTACAAGCTCAATCACCAGTTCCAGACAGGCTCGCCAGCTCCGCTATCGCTATTGCTTCCTCCACCGTCCCCTCCACCATCCTAGTTGGCCCGGGTCATTTGGGCCATCTCTGATGCTACAGTCTAATGCGTTTACGCATAAAACCGCAGCGACAGGTGACCCGTTACGGCCAAACTGTACACATTCCTGTTCCATCTTGACTGCGAGAGGTCACCAATAAAAGCACGGAATATTGTGGACCCGACGCAAGGGGGAGGGGCTCTCCGCAACAATCCCGAATAGAACATATCATCTATCTTGCCAAGATGAGCGGGACGCCTGAAGATGCAATACCTCTCTGCTAAAGCTATTCAAAAGCCATTCGGCACCTTTTCCCAATAAATGATAGCGCGTAATTTACTTCAATGACACACAGGTGCTGCCCCACGTGAAATGATCAATTATCCCGCTTGTGACTGCTGACATCACCACAGGCTTGTATTCATCTTTTGGAACCTTTAGGCGTGCCCAGGCAGCTTGTGGCTTTTCAGTAAGGCGTAAGACTAATTTCAGGTTAGAAGTAATTTACATCGATTCTAGGTTGAAAATCGAATATCTACAATTATGTGCGACGTGAGCGCTGTGGGTCTCAAACTTTAAGTTCACCAGAATTTGCGCAACTTACGACTCATTCAGAGCTTAGGCTATCATTACACAAATATCAAGGTTAAGACACCTCATTACCTTATAGTTCGTATACGTGTATGGTCATTTTTCATTCAATACCTTACAAAAGTCATAATGTAACAATTCGCCGTGTTCTCCTAGATATAAATATTTCTCGAAAGATCCATCCATTGTCTTTCTTATTTTATACACTTTCAATTGATGGGAGGATTTAGCACACTGGACATGATGATCACCTCAGCCATGGGTTTGAATACTCTTCTGACATTTTTTGCGGCGTTTGGGCTGTTCGACGCTGCCCTATCTTCAGGTTCGGGCATTCGGTCGAGATATCCCGCTTCCTACGCTCCAGAGAGTCTCGGATGCTCATCAGTTATGCCGAGTGTTCGAAATGCTCAAAATTTAAGCTCTTCTGAGTCGGCATGGCTACAGAAAGGCAAAGAGAGCAGGCTTTTATCGCTTCAAAATTTGCTTGATCGACTTCATATCGAGGGTTTCGATGTTAAGGCATATTTCAAGTCTTTTGAGAAAGCTGACCCTCCCAGCATAGGAATTGCATTCTCTGGGGGTGGCTACCGAGCACTCATGAATGGCGCGGGTGCTTTTACAGCGTTCGATGATCGCTCTGAAAATTCTAAAATACCTGCCAATGGGCAGCTTGGAGGGATTATACAATCTGCGACATATATATCAGGGCTTAGTGGGGGATCTTGGTTGGTCGGATCGGTCTACATCAATAACTTCCCTACGATAGCAGAACTGATGAATGACCAAGGCGGGGCCCTATGGAGATTTGATAGCTCAGTATTGCAAGGCCCAGAAACCGAGGATGATTATTATCAGAAACTCATTCACGAAGTCGACAGGAAGTCTAATGCCGGTTTCCAGGTATCATTGACTGATTACTGGTAAGTGATTTGAAATTCAAAAATTTTCAATCGTTTTCAAGAGCTGCTGATATTCAATATTGTATAGGGGTCGGGCATTATCCTACCAACTCATTAACGCGACTGGTGGGGGGCCAAATAAGTCGTGGTCATCTATATCTATCTCAAAAGAATTCAATGATGGCCGCATACCAATTCCCATCATCACTGCACTTGAGCGAACATCAGGGGAGAAGGATATAAGTAAGTTCTTTCGTTGCTTCTCCTTATTTCACAACGAGAATTCTCAAGAAATATGGCGGATCACTTGAATAATTTATTCTAGCTTTAAACTCATCCGTATTTGAGATCACTCCTTGGGAACTTGGTACATGGGATCCTTCGACTTTTGCGTTTATGCCATTAGATTACCTGGGCTCGAACTTCAGGTCAGGTGAAATCGATGGCGACACATGCACGCACGGATTTGATAATGCTGGTTTTCTTATGGGAACCTCATCAAGCTTATTCAATCAGGCTCTTCTACAGATAAACAACAGTGGAATGAGAGATTCATTACAGAAAGTTGCAGAATCTCTGTTAGAAAACCTTGATGAAAGTGAGAAAGATGTCGCAATTTACAAACCCAATCCCTTCTACCTCTGGAGTAATGACTGGAGAAGCAAGAACGCCAAGGAAGAGACATTGTTCCTTGTGGATGGGGGGGAGGATCTACAAAACATACCGTTCTATCCTTTACTACAGCCAAAACGCAAAGTGGATGTTGTGATTGCTATAGACAGCTCGGCTGATACCGAATTTAGTTGGCCCAATGGAACAAGCATGTTGGCAACATATAAGAGAAATTTGAATCCCAGTGGCATTGGAAATGGAACAGCCTTTCCTCACGTGCCTGATCAAAATACATTTGTGAACCTGAGGCTGAATCAACGACCAACATTTTTCGGGTGTCGATCTCCGTACGCAGCCGGGGAAAAAAGGACAACCGGTCCTTTAATCATTTACATTCCGAACAGCCCATATTCTTTCTACTCAAACGTTTCGACATTTGATCTGGAGTTCAGTGCCTCTAAGCGAGATTCTATTATCCTGAACGGATACAATGTTGCTACAATGGGAAACGGATCCGTTGATTCCAGGTGGCCAACTTGCGTTGGATGCGCTATTCTGAGTAGGAGTCTTGAAAGGACAAATACCTCCGAGCCACATGAATGCGTAGAGTGTTTCGAGAGCTATTGCTGGAATGGAACTATCAGCAGTACGGCTCCTGACTCTTATCAGCCAACACTCATACTTGAAAGTGGTATTGGAAAGGGGTTGAAGATTTGGAACACGTTCCTATTATCGATGATCCAAATTGTGTTAGGTGAAGCAACCTTTTCTTTGATGTTCTAGGAATAAAAGGAATGTAGTTCGCTTAACAAATTGAACAGTTTTATTTTCAGAAGCTCACCAGAAATGAAGTGTAAAGCTATTGAATTCTTCAGGTGACCAATTAACTTGAAGTACAACCGACGAAGATACGTGAGCGTATGAGCAAATTTGATATGATACATTGCATTTAGTTTGAACTAGCTAAGATGTGTCACATAAGAGAATCCGAAGAATTAAGATCACCTGTAGGAATGAAATGATCGATGCTATCCACTACGGTGTAACCTGAATCGTGTTGTGAGAGAAATCACGGCATATAGTTCGGGTATTCATGTCGAGTTGCTTCCCCATACAGCCAATTTTGGGTCTCAGCCAACGGGGTGAAGCAGCCAGAGCCACCCCAAAAAATCGGCGAATGATGTTGGGCTGATGCGTCAAGGAGCGGTGCCATTGCTGTGTTCCACTCTATCATGGGGGAGTGGAGGTCGCCCGCTTTATTGTGGAAGACCGCGCCAGATCCTGGTAGACTGCGATTGTAAGATGTCTTTTGCTTTTTGGAGAAAACCATGGGAGACAAGGACTCGGGGGTATTTAATCTGCAAGAAATGGAGGAATCGTTCGATTGCCCCAATATTTGTCCAGAACCCGCGTTGTCTACCTGCATAGGGCCAAAAAGCTCAGTACCTTTAGCATACCTAACAGGTAGCATCCCAGCTTCTTCTCGCTAGCCTCAGTGAATCTAAATAGTGATTACGAAGAAATGCTAAGCATATTCTTATATTTTCTTAGTCGATCAGGTTATCATACAGTACCACTTCAGCGTAGGGGATGCTTTAATTGAGACCTACGTTGTGTCACTGTTCTCCATCGATTCCACTATGTAAGTGAATGGTTATATCGCCGAGGGGGAGAGGAGTTGCCACTGAATGCTCGATATAGTTGCACAACACACTTTTTTGCAGTGATGATTTAGACATAGCTCCTGGTCGCCGAGACGGGTTGGCTGGTCTAGATGCGGTGGCGAATATCCCACTATCCGAATGAACCGGCCGCCTCCACGCGCCGCGTCAAACGTACCGATTCTCGGGGTATCAGTATCTCTCTGTGAACATATGATTATATAGCATTTTGTCCCAAAGTCATCGGGTCATTGTGCAAAAAGAAAGGCGTGATCACATGCAATGGATTCCCGTCAGCATGGGTGTGGGACATGACAGGAAAGAGAAACCTTATCACGTTCCACCAGCAATTCGGGGCTTATCCGTTACACTAGCACATCACGCTTTCTCCTCGATTTCCTCTATTTTCATAGACTCGGCACGATCATCGAAGGTAGAGGGGCCTTTTGGAAGGTGAACATTTTACACAATGAATCTGTTGAAAGTATTTTCGTCCTAAAAACCCAAAGTACCTTCGCCCCGCTCACGAATATATGGTCCTTTGAAGACTTTACCCTTATTTTCAACAATAATATTGGCTCTATATCCTTTCCCATGAACCTGGGGTGGAAAATTAACTTCAACTATCTCTTTGGCCTGGAGTTGGAGTACTTCAACCCGCCCGAGAGATTGTAGAAGATCTACAGGTTAAGGTCTGGGCCGTTCACATGCAAATATGCTGGTAAGCGACGGTGGAACGATGGATTAGAACCTTCGGGCAAGCCATTGAACCTTCCTGTTAAGTGTGAAACTAGAGCCGAGCGAGTGAAAGTGAGCAATTCTTGAGTAGGAACGATCACTTTGTTCCGCTTTACTCACTTCCCCGCTAAACCAGCTTCCAAAACGGAACGAATATCCAACCTTTGAATTTATATTAACACAGATTGACGTTGGTCTTGCGAATTGTTTGCAACAACTTCAGAATGGAGCTTAAAGGCACCACCCATAGGATATTTTCCTCTTTTATTCGTTTCGGAGAATTGGTATGTGGTGTCGTTGTTCTCGGGATACTCAGTCGATTTTGCTACGTCATCAATATTGCCGATGTGTCCGTCGACGGACGCATTGTTTATACTATGGTCACTTCAGCAATTGGCATGATATTTTCGCTCGCCGTTTGTCCACCATTCAACAGTCTTTTCCTTGGCTTTCCATTCGACTTTGTCCTCTTTATTATGTGGCTCGTGGCATTTTGCCTTCTCGAGACGGTATGCTTTTCCAGTCCGGTATGCCAGTCGGACGAAAATAAGGGACCAGCTTAACAATGCAAGGCAAGCAGAAAACAGGCACTAACACATGCTCTTCTTCCTGGTACTACAACTATTGGGGATACTACTGGGGCCGATTATGGCATACTGGCCCTATCGGAACAGTTCATGTGAATGGAGTCGGCTGTCGCGAGTGGAGAGTCGTCCTTGCCTTCTCGTTCATTGCCCTTTGGCTCTATTTGATGAGCGGTATTTTAGTGAGTGCCAAAACACCCCATTTTCAAGCCTATAAGGAGAGGAATAATATCCACCTAGGGAATTTATGTCTTTCATACCTACATCAAGCCCAATAATACAACATCACATGTCAATAGGCGTGCCGGAAGGTTCTCTTGGTAAGAACTACGGGGAAGAGAAAGCTTTAGTTAAGTATATCCAACTGACTCCTGGTGATATACAGGCGCAAGTATCATAATGCAGAATGCTACGACCATAACGAACCCCGGGCAGACGGTGAAGATATGTGTACACAATCTTCAACTACAGTCTAGTTCAGTGAGTAATCCGGTATAGAAACTTCCAGGGAACCATGACCCGGCGTCTATACCGAGTATGAAGTTAATGAACTACCACACCTCACGGGATTTTGTCTAGACCTCCTCAATTAATATACCACACCCAAAGTCCTCATCACGGGCCCGGAAAAGATGGACTTCATGATACTTAGCACCTATACTTTTGACATTGTGCGGTCAACCCATTTTTGTCAATATTTCGGTTGATTCAAATTGCATCTTCATTCAGAAATCGCATCTTTGCAATCTATAGGAAGATCAGACAAGTAGCTCAACTGGTTATGAGTCCGACTGCTGCGTAATATAGATCTTAATTTAACAGTTCGCATCGAAGATAGCTCCTCTACTATATTATCACGATATCACGATATGAAGAGGGAAGGGAACCTTGGGATGTAGCGTAGCCTGGAGATTGCACAAACAACTCTTACCGGAATTGAGAAGTTCGAAGAGTGAATTCCGCATTGTGATTAAGGAGATATTCAGTTTCCATAATTGCACGAGAGAAGAGAAGGGATTCAAACACCTATCAAGCTGCTCACTACAATACTGTCATTTCAGGTGGCTCAATACAATAGAGGTAACATCTGGCGCAACAATAGATCCTCTTTAACAGCCGACCTATTAACTAGGTTGGAAAATAATGAAATAGGACGACGTGAAGACTGGAAATTATTATCAACAAATTGACGCAAGACAGCCAAAATTAGTATTGTACACAGTGAGCACAGCTATACTGTATATAGCAGATTCAAACCTCGCTCAATTCCCAATTAAAGTGCTTTTGATCTGCCTTGCAGCCGGGGAAACATGTTAGGTGGGGTTAAACGGGGAAGAATAATATTCAGGGCCCTTAGCAAATCTCGTTTACCCTCGCTACTTCTGAATAATGATGTAATATACGCGTGGTAAAGTATTTTCTAAATAGGTTTTAATGTTTCCTTCATAGACTTCTCGTTTAAATATCCTACAATTGAAGCTTTTAATTCAAACGCAATTCATCCTCGAACGATAAAAACTTCTAATTGTGTGGGTCAAGGGTACGCAATACTATGTTTACTATCGCATAGCGTATCAGTTTTTTGGATTGTATCTTTCGGTGAAGCAGAGTCAAGACGGGAAAAGAGGAGAAGTAAGAAATGTTGTTTTGTTTTCAACTATTGCTGAGAACCCGCAGGTAAAAGGAGCCTCGTCGAAGAAGGTCGTGGATTGCTGTGCTTTCATGTTAACAAAAAAAAGGAACTCTAATATGGCCATTTTATGGGTCAAAGGGATATATCATTAAATAGGCCTACATACCTTCCGTGGGAGGGCCAGCATGCTTCTTTGAATTGGAACTCTGCAATATTTGATGGCTGTCGAGGGAGCCAATATCTTTTGAAATTCAGAAAACAGTGATGAATATGCAGGGACGTTTGACTTTACATTATTTGCTTCAAGATCGGCATTGACCAGTTTTGCAACTTTCGTAATATTTTCCAGCTGGTCTTTCAAATCCGCAGTCTGTGATGAGATTGAAAGCAGAGGTAGTCGGTATTTTTTGAAAAGCTTCCTCAAGCTATACCACTTCACTGACGATGATAAAATAGTATAGTTATTTCTCGCTAGCCATGATATCAACTCCATGTGGTAGTAGGCTAGGAACAAGCCAAGGTCAGCACATTTCGAGTCTTGCCTTGAAGCGTTGATAAGATAACCATCCGACTCCGCACGAGAGGTGTAATCCTGAAGAAGTGCTTGGATGGTCCTCCTGCCGAGTCGATTGTCTTGTAGGTTAGAAGCGATGACATGTATGGTGCTTGCCAACCTGGACAATAGTTCAACAGCTGTGACGCTCTCCTTGGACATGTTTTGCAATGTAAACCATAAACAGAATAAAAAGAAAGGATGTGTTATTAATAATCGAGTTTCTACTTGTTCAGCACAAATATCTGAATGGTTTACACCTAGATCACCGCTCAGACCCGTCAGAAGTGATACAAAGATGACAGCGTATTACGAGTTATCAGTGCCACAGAACCGGGATTAAATGAGGATAACCTCTAGAGGCGAATCAACGGTCTTACCTCGAAGTTCTGAGACAACTGAGTGATAAGCACGACTGACCGGCATTTTCTTCCGGATCTTACTAAAGGCTCCAGCAAATATCCGGGCGAAGCGGATACAGCAATATTCGAAATTGGCTTCCATGTTTTACACAGAGAAACTATCTCACGCCCCACCGCCAAGACAATTGTGAAACTTCCTGCAGATCATGCTTGTTTTGGACCGTCTTGGCGTATGGTACAGGACATGAAACG